GGGACATCAGCGGCGCCCAGCCGACCGTCCCGCGTTTTAAAGCCCAGCAGCGGCCCCCACCGTCCCCAGGACGCGGCCAAGGTCACCGGGGACAGTTGGACGCGGGTACCAGAGACGCAGGCTTAGCCTGGGCTCCACCACCCCCCCACCCCACCCCCGGCGCGCCGGGAGCTGTGATGCCCGGCGCTCCCGAGTCCCTCGGTGTTCCCGAGCCCCCGAGCCCCTCCGCGTCCCTGCATCCCAGCCAGGCTCGGGGCCCACTCACCGGGCAGCCGGGCGGGACACGGGTTCAGCTACAAGGACTCCGGGCGCGGCGCGGGCGAACAGCGGCGTCTCCGCGCTCCCGAGGCTCTTAAGGGGCGCCACGCGGACCGCCCATTGGCTGCTATTTATAGCCCATTCATTCCATTGGCCCTGGAGGCGGGGTGGTGCCGACGCTTTGTCCCCTACCCGCAGCCCGGACACCCCCCAGGCGCCCCTCTTGGTGGTCCCGACTTATGGTCCCCTTCCTCCCCCGCCCCCAGCGCATTCTACCCGGCACCCTCCAGTGGTCCAAATATGGAGCTCAGGCCCTGGGAGGTCTTGGACCACCATCCCCACCTCCACTCCGCCTCCGGGCGGGAAACTAAGGCCCCAGAGCCATCTGGCAATTGAGGACACCACGAGTGGTCAGCACTGCACCCTGGCTCCTGCCCTCGCTCGCCGCGCGGGCCCCGAGGTGGCCGCAGGGAGAGGTCGTCAGAGCATCCAAGTTCCACAGCAGGTCGTGCTCCCCGGCTCTACCCCCGCCACCCCGCGCCGGCCAGGAGCCGCCGACCTTCTCAAGGTGCCCTCGGGCATCTCCAGGGCGATCTCGGTGCGGAAGGAAGGCGCGCGCGGGAGGGGCCGGCTGGCGGTAGCCCAGACAGCCGGCACCTGCGGCGTCCTGACCTTGGGCAAGGCCCTGGCCTTCAGGGTACGGGGAGACCGTGGCCCTAGAAGCTGCTCGCACAGCCTCCAGCCCTCACCCTCCGCAGGGAACAGGTTCCCCCTCGCCGCCTACCCAAAAAGCGGTGCCCAGAGCCGCCGGACAAAGATGAGGGGAGGGGGAGGGCAGCCTGATAACCCATAGACATATGTGACAGACCATGTCTCACCACTAACCAGGATCGTGCCAATCCAAACGCAGCGACTGCCCCTGCCCCACCCCCACAGCCCTCGGAGATTGACGCCGTGGGGCCCCGGGGGTGTCTGCGGGGGCGCCTGCCTTCCTGCAGGGCTGAGAAGGACGCTCCACCCTTTTGAAAAGTAATTTGGCAGTAGCTCTTCAAAAGAAAACTGCTGGCGCTTCAAGACCCTGCGATCCCCACTGCCAGGAATCCGGCCTGTGGGGAGGCTAGCCCTTCACCGCAGACAGCCGGGGGAGGGGGAGCCCCCGGATCTAGCACCGCCCGGCGCCTTCGTGGGCGCTGGGGAGTGTGCGACAGATAGCACGCAGCTGCTGCAAGAGCGCGCTGTCTGCGTGAGGAGTGACCAGGCAGCCAGGAAAACCTTGGGTCTGCCGCGGGGTATTAGGCCGAACCGCGGGGCACCTGCGCCCAGGATGCAGCGGGAGAGGGGCGGGCAGCGAGAGTGCATCGCCCAGCTGCTGCAGGGTGATGCGGTGGGCAGGTGACCCAAGTGACCAGGTGACTCAAATGACGTCAGGAAGTCGAAGTAACTGAGGAGAGGACGCCCCACAGGAAGGACGCGCCTGTGCTTTGTCCCTGGTGGTGCAGAGGGGAGTCGCCGCCGCTCCCCCTCCCTCCCGCGCGCGTGGCTCTGCGCTCAGCCTGCTCAGTAACCTTTGTTTGCAGACGCGAAGAGAAAGCAGCCAGCGGCCTGGCCCCAGACAGCAGGTGTCCTTAAGCCTGGAATTCCTTCGCTTGGCGCCCCCCACCCCAATCTCGTTTCTTCTCAGGCAGCCCTCCCCGAATTTTGGACGGATCAGCAGATGCCCTCCCCCACTCCCCAAGTCCTCCCCAGCTCAAGTTTCTTCGTCTGGAAAAATGAGCAGATGGGGGCCCTGGACTTCCTCTTTGTCCTGGGCCTGCCTCAGCCGGCCACCCCTCCCCACCCCTAGGCACTGGCGAGCCTGGGCAGGACTATTCTCCCAGACCCTTTCCTGCGCAGGTCCTTCAGAGGTCCTCTCCTGGGGGCGAGGCAGGGGGGGGCATCCGTGGGGGGTCTCCAGTGATCCTAGAACCCTGAGGCAGGTCTTTGACCCCATTTTGCAGATGATTAAAGGGGACCTCAGAAGTTGGAAGGCACAAGTGGGGGATCACCGGTTCTATGTCCCCTTGAAGTCCTCAGTGCCTGGCCTTCTGCTGAAGGACCAGGGACAGCCCTCAGGGCCCACACAAGCCTGAGCTGAACACAGGCCTACAATTGGGGCACAGAGCAGGGCCAAAGGCCCACAGGCAAGGAGCTCCCCCCCCTACAAGCAGGGAGTTCCCTATAGGCATGAAGCCCCCACAGGCAGGGACTACTTGGACCCTGGTGGTCCTCAGAGCAAGGTGTCACAGGCAGGTGCCTGGGAGGGTGGGACCTCAGCTGGCTGTCATCTGCAGACACTCCCACCCATAGGACCCCCAGAAGCAGGTTTAGTGGTGTCCTGGGAGCAAGGAGTGGATGACATCATTAGGCCAGTATGTGGTCCAGGTTCCAGGAAATCACACCTGGTTACACATTAACCACCAGCCCAGGAGGCAAGGGTGGGGCCAGTCTCCAAGACTCCAGGCCTGTGCTGCACAGAACACAGCTGCTCCACGCAGCCCCAGTCAGAGGGTCCAGTGAGGAAGCAGGAGGAAGCCTTGGAGCCTAACCACCACCTCCTCCCACACAGCAGGCCCTGGGTTCCTCAGAGCCTGAAGGGGAAGTCCATGGGGGTCTGGAGAGGGCCAAGGACTGACTGCCTTAGGGTCACAGTGTAGGGCCTGCCAGAGATAGGTAGGTAGTACACCCACCCAGTCGCCCTGATGCTGGAGGCGCTGACCCTTCTGTACAGCAGAAGCCAAGTAGACTGACTTCAAACCCCAGCCCCATTGAAGCCAAATTGGCATGGTTTTAGGCAAGTTCCTTAATGTCTCTGAGCTTCCATTTTTCTCCATCTATTGAATGCTCCCTTCATGAAGAGATTGTGGGGAGGATTCAATGAGGTGGCTTTGCATTAATGCTTGTGAGTTGAGTCCAAGACATGGACAATCCAAGGCGGTCTTGGGAACCACCTGTGGCCTCTGATGGAGCAGCCCTGAGGAAGTGGCTCTAAGAAGGGGCCACTGGAGGAGCTGGCCAGCCAGCCCCGCACACCAAGGCGAGTGGGAAGTGAGGCCACAGGAAACCACCACTCGGCAGTGCGTTCTAATTTAAGCCTCTTAGCAGCAGCAGCAGCAGCAGCAGCACCCAGCCTGGACTGCCCGAGGCTCCTCAGGGGCTGGGAAAGAGGAACCCCTGGGAGCAGTGGAAAGTGGAGGCCCCCCAGGGGAGCAATTAGAGTGTGATTCTGGCGTCAGAGTGAGTGAGCAGCGGGGATGCTGGCAGGGAGTGACAGAGTGAAGCTGGCTTCCCAATAGCCACTGAGGTGAGGTGGGGCAAGCCACCAGAGATCCCTATCATCTGGTCTGTGGGGCCCCAGGCCTGGCCCAGCCCTGGCAAGGTCAAAGAGCCAGGTGCCACAGCCTGGCAGGGCGCTGCGGAAGTAAGGTTGGAGGGTACTGGTGACTGGGAGGGGTGCCCTGGGCTGGGTCCTGGGTCACTGTGGGCTGAAAAAACACTCAGGGTTCAGGGCCAAGGGCCTGAAGTGGTGGGGGGAGGGGTGGGGGTTGTTTCAATCTTCCTCTGTTCCCTAGGATTAGCAGGACATGCCCTGGTCACTGGGGCTAAGAATGGGAGGAAGACGCCTGGAAGAGGCAGGACCTTGCCCCCTCCACTTTTCTGCCCCAAGTTCCTTGCCCTGCCCACACCCCAAAGTGAAGCCCAATGCCTAAGCGCTCTAGGTGCCCTTGGGCTCTGGCCCCTTCTCCTAAAACTGACAGGTATGAGCCCCTCCGGTCCTGGAAGGTGTTGGGGGCCACCTGCAGCTCCCTCCATCCCCCACCCTCCCTGGCCTAGGGCTGACAGCAGTGACTAGGCCAGTACTGGTCGCACATAGACCACTTTGCATTGACAGCACGGTCGGTGGCGGGGGCTGTTCGCACCCTGGCAATGCCCCGCCGTGCGTCTCAGGGAGGCGGAGGACCCCGGAAAGGCCTCGCGGGCCTTCCACACCCGCGCGCTCTGCAAGGAGCGCTCTTGGGGTGGAGGCGCGCAGCGGGGCGGGGCCTTGACGTCATCAGCGCGCGCCGCGCCAGAGCCGGAAGTGCGGGTGCCGTCGCGGAGCCACGTGTGGAGTCTCTGGGAGCGGGATTTGGTGAACCCCTTCCCGCAGGCCCCCCGAGCCGCCCGGCGTCCCCATCCCTGCCGGTGGGACCCTCACCCCGTCCGCCACCCACAGCCTCCTGCCCGCGAGCAGCCCGTGGGTGCCAGCCCGGCTTGGAGGTGAGCGCCGGCCCCCTGCTCCACCCCAAAGGCTACCTGCAGCCTCCCGCCAGTTCCAGCTCGGGGACACCTCGCTGCGGGAGTCTGGACCGTCCTCAGCCAGGCTGGGCCCCAGTTTCTCCATCTGTGATGTGGGCCAGTGGCTCTGGCTGTCAGGTTTGGGCGCCGCCACTGTGCCTGGAGGCGCCCCCCGCCTGCTGCAACCCCCGCGCTTCCCTCCCCAGGCCCTGGCACCATGAGCTTCGTGGAGTACGAGGAGCGGATCCGGGAGGGCGACACGGCCATCCTGTCGCTGGGCCACGGCGCCATGGTGGCCGTGCGCGTGCAGCGGGGGGCGCAGACGCAGACCCGGCACGGCGTCCTGAGGCATTCGACCGACCTCATCGGCCGCCCCTTCGGCTCTAAGGTGACGTGCGGCCGAGGCGGCTGGGCGTACGTGCTGCACCCGACGCCCGAGCTCTGGACGCTGAACCTGCCGCACCGCACGCAGATCCTGTACTCCACCGACATAGCACTGCTCACCATGATGCTGGAGCTGCGGCCCGGCTCCGTGGTCTGCGAGTCGGGTGAGCGACGCAGAGGGTCAGGGCCAGTGCCCCGCTGCCTTTCAGCAGGAGGGCCTAGCAGCCTGGGCGGACCTTCACACCTGCCCCTGCCCGCCCGCCCTCCCTCGCAGACCCAAGATGGGGGCTCTGCCTTGTAGGAGGCTGGCCTGTCCCCATCCCCAGCTTCACACACTATTGGCGGAGGCAGGCAGAAAGCCAGCGAGTAAACGGGTGTGCAGAGGCTGGGTGTCTGTGGGGAAGGCCCGGGTGGTGCTAGCAGTACGGTTTTGGTGGGGTGGGGTGGACAGGCCCAGGGGAAGGCAACACTGCCCGCAGGTGTATGGGCAGCAGGCCCGGGGGTGCCATCTCTCTTTGAGCAGAGCCCAGGCTGCCACCAAGTGAGAGGTGACTGACAGAGCCCAGAGCCCCCACATCCAGGACCAGGGCCAGGTTGGTGCTGACCAAGGTGCTGACCCCTAGGGCCCCAGGCGCAGGGCTGCACCAGGTACACTTGGGAGGTAGAGACCTGCCCCATGGTCAGCCATGGAGAGGTCCTCCCTGCTGCCAACCTGAGCACCCTTGGCCCAGGGCTAGGACCCATTGGACATGGCACCCCCTCCTCCATTTCCCAGCATACGCAAGGTTGGGGGCCTCCAAGGTGGAAATTGGGACCGAGCCTTAGCGCCAGTACTTTGACCAAGATGAGCCTCAAAGGTGGCTGGCTACCCAGGGTGTCCTCGGCCGCCCCAGGCTCCCAGGGGCTGCTCTCTGGCCAGCCTCGCCCCTCTCTGGCCTCTGTCTCTCCATGTGAATGCAGGACAGATTGGCCTGGCTGGATGCTGAACACAGCCATGGGCAGAGGGCAGTACAGGCATGTAGAGGACAAGCCACAGGGCCTGCAGCACCTCTGGGGACAGTCTGCGTGTCTTCACGCCCCCAACACACAGCTGGCTGGTGCTGTGACCAGGCAGCAGGGCATTTCTGAGGAAGCCGCAGGAGCCAGCAGGCCCCCAGGGGTGTTTGAATGTGCTGAGGTTGTGATATGCCCACCGGAAGGGGGTGGCTGGGGCGGGCACCACCTGACGCTCACCAACCATAGGCACTGGCAGCGGTTCCGTGTCACACGCCATCATCCGCACCATCGCGCCCACGGGCCACCTGCACACCGTGGAGTTCCACCAGCAGCGGGCGGAGAAGGCCCGGGAGGAGTTCCAGCAGCACCGCGTCGGCCGCTGGGTCACCGTGCGCAACCAGGACGTGTGCCGCAGTGGCTTTGGTGTCAGCCATGTCGCTGACGCGGTCTTCCTGGACATCCCCTCGCCCTGGGAGGCTGTGGGCCATGCCTGGGACGCCCTCAAGGTGGAAGGTGCGCTGGTTGGGGTGGCCAGGACAGGGCGGGGTGTGTGGGCCTGGCTGGGGCCCTGGCAAAGCCACCTGGGGGCAGTCAGAGTGCAAGGTGTCAGGTGAATGAGTGGGGGTTCTGCCCGAGGTTCACAAGGGCTGGCTCCCTGTCCTTGTTTCCAGCGCTGGGGCTGGCAGAATCCCCCTCCCCCCAGGCCCAGCCCAGCCTTTTAGGGGAAAGCTGCTCTGTGGGGTGGAGGCAGTCACTGGAGGTGGCCCTGAGCCAGGCGGCCGCAGGGAGCCTGGGGAACTTGCCTTTTCTGGAGACGGCACTGACTCGGCCACCCAGGTGCCCCCCTCCTTGCAACTAGAGGTGCTGTATGAGGGGGGGCTGGGCAGGACGGGGTTCCGGGTCTGGGCCAAGCCTGGATGGGGCAGCTTGTCTCAGCCCAGACCCATCACCCTGGATGCCCTGTCCCAGGTCTGGGGAGGTGCCCTGGGTGCTTGGGGGTGAGGGCAGGAGGCAGGGCAAGAAACCTTTGCCTCCCCCCCACCCCTCTGCCCCCTCCAGCTGTGCCCATGGACTTCCGTGAGCTCTTCCTGCTCCAGGACCCTACCCCTGTGGCAGAACCCCAGAGAGCCCCTCTTTTCTCAGGGGTGGGAGCCCCTCCCTCCAGGACTGTCCTCAGACTCACTCAGTAACAACGGGGGTGGGGGTAGAGCAGGAAGAGGCTGTCGGTACCGCCCCACCCGTCACCCTGGAGGCACCTCCAAGTGGGTGCCTGCTGGTGCCTGGGAGCGGGTGACAGCCTCTAATTTCCTGTGACAGCCCCCACCCCAACAGCCCTGCCACCACGGCTGCATTTTTGGAGCTGCTGCTTGTGGGCACCGCCCCCACTGCAGTCTGCTGGCCCGGGTGGAGGGTTGAGGGGGCGGGCTGGAGCCTCACCCCTCTGACCCTGCCCTGCCCACAGGTGGGCGCTTCTGCTCCTTCTCGCCCTGCATCGAACAGGTGCAGCGCACATGCCAGGCACTGGGGGCACACGGCTTCTCGGAGCTGAGCACCTTGGAGGCGCTGCCCCAGGTGTACAACGTGCGGACCGTGAGCCTGGCCCTGCCCGATCTGGGTGCCGGCCCTGCTGAGGCCAGCCCTTTCCGCAGCGGCACCCCCATGAAGGAGGCCGTCGGCCACACTGGCTACTTGACCTTTGCCACCAAGACGCCGGGCTAGTGGGCGGTCAGCCCAGAACCAAGAGGACTGGGGGTGCTGGGGGCCGGGAGGACCTTCGTGGCACCTGGAGGACTTTGGAGCCTGGACCATGGACCTGGTGATGCTGGAGGCTGGAAGGAGTGTGGGCCTGGAGGACCATGGGGCTGGGTGAAGCTCCCCAGTCACGCTGCCTTATATGGCCACCAACTGCCTGCCCAGCCCGTGTTTTGAAAGACTGAGGGGCGGGTTTAAGCCTGGGATCTCGTGGGTGGTGGCCAGGCGAGGCACAGCCCTGTGGAGCTTGGAGCACCCGCCCCAGCCTGCCCAGCCTGTGGGCGGAGCACAGCCTCCCGTGCCTGCTGGACACCCCTTCCTTAAACAGCCTCCACTGCCAGGAGCCTCGGTGTGGTGACCGCAGAGTCTTGGGAGGGGCGGTCCATACAGAGGGGTCAGCTTGCCCACCGTGCCTCTCCCGTCACCTGATTGGAAGAGACCCCTGCTTGTAAGGAGTAGTTCAGGCCCCCTTAGAGGCCCATTAAAGCACTGCTGGCATGGCCTTGCTCTCATGACCCCCTGCCTCAGCCCTGGGGGCTTTGCCAGGGCAGAGCCTAGGCAGTGGGGAGGGGGCTGAAGCCTTGCCCTGGATAGCAGTAAATACTGATTGCCCTTACGCTGGTCCCTGCCTCCTGCCCTGTCTGTCCGCCCCTCCACCTCCCCAGTTCCTGCATAAAGACTGCCAGGCCATGGACAAAGGGGTGAGTGTGTGGCCACCCACCCCACCCCTGACCACAGAAAGAGCCTTTGTCCCCAGGGAAAGCTGGCTGGGGGAGGGGTGAGAATGCGTGAAGAGTGTGTGTGCGTGCATGTGTGTGAGAGAGATGGAGAGGGAGTGTGTGTGTGTGTGTGTGTGTGTGTGTGTGTGTGTTTGTGTGTGTGTATATGTGTGCGTGTGTGTCCCTGAAAATGATAGTTTTCATGTTCCGGCAACTGGGTGGGGTTGCCTGGGCTGGAGAGCAGCCCTGGAATTTGAGAAGATTCCAGAAGGCCGGGCTGTAGCGGTGTGGGGGCAGCATGCTTCCTGTGATGGGCTAGAGAGGTCATAGCCTGAGCGTCCGCTGTCCCACTCTGGTCACCTGGGGTGTGCCCCGCCCAGGTGGTGCTGGGGCTGCAGACACCCTGAAAGGGGTGGTAGGCAACCACCTGGGAGCTTTGCCCCTTGCTCTGTGCTGCTGGCCCTCGGGCTCTCTGTCCCACTACATGTGCGGTTTGCGGTAACGCTGTTGGTGCAGAGCCCCACCCCCACGTTCCTGCCAGTTCTCTCCCAGGCTTGCTGGTGTCCACCTAGGCGCTCACTGCCCCGGCCGGGCCTAGTTCTTCAGATGGGAAGGCTGACAGCCGGGGGCAGGACTGGCCCCCAGAGAGCCCAGGCCCGGCCTGGTGGCGCCCCTGAGTCACCAGCATGGGGCTTGTCACGGGGCAGGGATCAACCCAGAAAGTCAGCTTTTCCTTGGAAAGTCCCTGCTGCAGCCCAGAGGAGCCTGCCCCACACCCGGAGGCCCAGGCCTGGCAGCTCCCCTGCTCCACATGGCCCCTGCCCCCCACTTTCTCTTCCTGTCTCAACCTGGAAAACAAGGGGGTGGGGGTTCGTTAGCCTAACAACCTGCGTGGCAAGTCACTGCCAACCCCACTGCCTTCTATGCATTTCCCAGACAGTCTCGTCTCCCACAGAGCAAGTGGCTGGTGTGAACTTGCACTTTGCCCTCCAGTGCACCCACCGCACCACCAGGACACCTTTCTGCACGCATGGTGAGGGAAGCCCAGGCTTTAGGGACACACCCCGGCTCATGTGACAAGGGCCCCTCCTGCCCTGGCCAGGGAGTGGAAAGGTGAGTGCTGGGGACCCCCAGCGTGCCCCTGCCTCCAGAGCTCCTGCACATGCCTCCCTCTGGAGGCTGGGGCAGTTTGCACAGGTGGGAAACTGAGGCCCAGGATAGATGGGCTTGCCCGGCTCCCAGAGGCTGGGCAGGAACTGCAGAGGGGCTGGGACAGTCACCCTGACCCTGAGGGACACAGGTGGGCACCCCCTTCTTGGCTGCTTTGAGGTGCTCTGCAGGAGCCCCATGGGCAGCTACATTCTAGAGGGCTCCCCTGAGGCCTTGGTAATGAGGGCTGGGGGGCGGGGTGATGCTCCTTTTTCTTAGGGTTGCAGTGCGGGGCTGGGGGTTTTTACCCAGAAAATGCCCCTTCCTGGGTGCTGGGAGCCCCAAGGCTCAGGCTGTGGGGGAGCCGACAGGGACAGACAGGTGGTAGGTCCTCATTCAGGTGAGGACTTGAAGGACCTTCAGGAGTGGGCTGCCACCTCCAGGAAGCCCTCCCTCCTGCTCTGAGAGGTGACCCTCTTTCCCCAGAGATGTCAGAGTTGATCAGGACAGCGGCAGACAATTCCCCCAGAGACTTCTGGAAAACCCAGATCGTGCCTGGGACCTGGCCCCCACAGCTCTGGCTCTTACAGAAATGGACACCTCACCTCCCATAGAGTGGCTGCTGGGCTCAAACCACTGACTGGTCAGTCAGCAGCTGAGCTTCGCCCCCGCCCCACCAGGGCTCCTTCCACAGAGTAGGTGTGTTGCCTGGCTGTCAGCAGATGGCCCACTGCTTGTTGGTCTCAGGCCAAAGCAGACCCCCAGCAAGTGCCCACCCCAGTCAGGGACCCAGCGGTTTCACACCTGGGCCATTTCAGAGACTCAGAGGGGCAGCCCCTACCGAGCCTGAGGCCCAGCAACAGGTGGTGACAGGCTCAGAACTGGGGTGCAGGACCCCTAAGAAGTTGGAGCCCACAGACCCTCCATCAGCCTGCCAGCCCCACCCGCCCCAGCTGAGTGCAGGGCATTTCAAAGTCAGGCCGCCTCGCCCCCAGCGTGCTGAGAATAGTCCGGATCTGGGTCACATCCCCGAGAGGCAGGCGAGCTTAGCCACAGCCTGGAGCCGTGGACGCTGATCCGCTTCCTCCGGCTTCTGTCCTTTCAGGGGGGCAGCTGGGCTGAGCACGGAGGCAAGGCCTTACCCCGCCCCCAGCCCCACAGGGACCCCTTCCCTGCTGGTGCCTCCAGCTCTTTCCCTGCACCCCAACCAAGGGAACTCCTCCTCCTCTGTTCCCTCCTCTACCCCCCACCCTCCCTGGCCTGGCAGCTGACAGTGCCCTTTCTCTCCAACATGTCTACGGAAGGCCCAGACCTGTCCTTGTCACCTGGGTGCGCTGGTCATGAAGGTGCCATTAAGCGCCTGGCTCCTCTGGTTCTGGGGTCTACACAAACCTACAAGAAGGCTGTCACCACCACTTCCCTGGGACCAGCTGCCCCAGCATCACCTGAGAGCCCCACCTCGGGGATGGACAGATGACGGATGGACAGACGGGTGCTCCAAAGAGTGGCCAGCCCTCCGCGGGGTCTGAGCTCCCTGGGTGGAAGAGCACTGCTGAAGGGACCCCACATTCCCAACGCTACCCTTTGTGTCTCTTCAACAAGCAAACAAAGCCCTCTGTTCAAGCCACTCTACTCGGGCAGCCCACTCCCACTCTGGAAGCTTCCAAAACATGGCTCTTCCCAGGACCAGTCCAATGGAGGCAAATCCCATGGGAACATTTGCTTCCAAGTCACCGGAATCCTCTTGAGATTCCCATGCGCTCTGGGATGCAGGCTGCTGGGGACCATGGTGTGTGTGTGGGCCCCTTGCAGGCCTGGCTTGAGCATGACCCGTGTTTACTTTAAGAATGAGCCTGCTGGGACACTTGAGGCCCGGTGATTAACATGTGAGCTCATAGCACCCTGCTATTTAGGAGGGGGCAGTGTCGTGTTAAGAGGCAGGCTGTTGCTGGCCTCGTAGCCTGTGGGGACAGGGCCTTGGAGGGTGGCTAGTGGGAAAGGGAGGGGCAGGGGGTTCTTCATCCCAGCCTTCCACCTGGCCATCTGTGTGACATGTCCCACAATAAAAAGGGGTTTTGTTGTTAAGTGGCCATTTCAGCCCCATCTGTTTGCGCTACACACATCTGAGCTCTGGTCACTGCCCCCCCCCTCCCCCAGCCCTGATCCTGGGGAGACCACCAGGTTGGTGCCTCCTGTGGAGCCTCAATTTACAGGTTGTGGTGGAGAGCGGGGAGAGGCCATCCTTCTCCCCTCCCCCAGCCCAGGAATGAGCTGGCTGTAGCCAGGAGACAGACCTCCAGGGCGGTGGATGAGAGCCACAGGCAGATGGCCTGTCCCCAGCAGAGGGCAAGGAGGAGGAGTGGGGGCGGCAGCCGCCAGGCCACCTTGCCTCCTTTCCCAGCAAGCCTCGAAAGAGGGAGCCAGCTCTTCTGCCTGGGCTGTCCCAGAGGGCCACCCCCTCCAGACCTCCTGCTGGCTGCTGCCTCTGGCCCAGCGCTGGCCTCCTCCCAGGCGGGCTGTGGCCCTGGGTGGGACGCTGGACTGGTCACGGGAAGGCCTCAGGAAAGCAGGGGCCGCTGTGTGCCTCCGCCAGGACCCCAGCCTCAGAAACCCAGGCGGCTACCTTCGGAATCCACTCTTGGCCGCAGGTTTGTTTAATAAGCCCTCGTCTATCCCTGTCCCCTCCCCCGCACTGCAGCCGGCAGTCCGGTCATCTACACGGGACTAGAGCCACGTCCTGGACCACCCGGGGTGTCCTCGGTGCCTGCACACAGATCTCGGGGGGGGGGGGGGCGGCCCTGGGCGGGAAGCACGGTGTCTGTGGGGTCAGCAGCTGGCCACCGTGTCCCTGGCAGTGACACAGACGCTGGTGGCCCAGAATGCTGGTCTGGTCCCCGGGTGGAGGCGGAGCCAGAACGGGGCGGGGTGGGGGGGGGGCGATGGGCTTGTTGCTAGGTTACTGGCACAGTAGACCTGCTGGCACCTGGCAACAAGAAGGGACACTGCTGGGCAGAGGGCCCAGCCCTCCCCTGCTCCCCCAGGTCCCCAGGCCTCCCCCTTGCTGGTGCTGCAGCCCCAGCCTCAGGGCATTAAGGCCCCCGGGTGCCTGTTCCTCCCAGAAACACCCTTCCCCCCTCACTGGGGCCCAGGAGGGGGTTTGGCTATTGCTCTGGGCCTTCTAGCCCCTCCTTTACCCACTAGGCAGCAGCCCACCACCTCCGCCCGCCCCCTTCTCCTGGCCCCTGCCCCTGCTGCTGCCTCAGGGAAGCTCAGGCCTGGCTCTCAGGCCTGGCTGGGCTGGGCGACAACCAGGGGACCTCAGTTCCCTGCCGCCACTGACCCTGGCCTCCAACCCCCACCTGAGAGCCTGTGCCTCTCCTGACCCCGCTGAGCCCTCCATACCCCAGCAGTGGCTGCCAGTGTCCTGTTTGTCTGGGCTGCGTTTGGCTCCCTGGACACCACTTCCTCCTTCCGTGGAGCACTGCTAAGCTGGCCCACCAACTGGTGGCTGGAGGGGTGAAGGTGGGAGCACTGTTTCTCCTGCCCACAGAGGCACCAGTGCTCAGCCTGGCCCACACTGCCCAGCAGGGGGGCCTCAGCCTCTGAAACCCCCTCTGTCTGCCCTGGTCCTGAGGATGAATCAGGGCCCCCCAATGTGGACAGGCCCCACCAAACTCCAGTCCTCCCAGACTGACACCAGGACCTACATTCTGGTCACCCCTTGCTCCCCAACAGAGCCAGATACCCCA